GGTGCCCCGTCGCGCCAGAAGGGGGGGGGGGGGTACACGTCACAGAAGCTGGACTCAAGGGGGGTGGCTTTACGTCGCATCTCGCTCAACGCAAAGACGGTTCGAGGGGTGACAGAAACCCTGGGACAGGCATTCTATTGTGGGCGGCGTCAAGACGGTATTCTCGCGTCCTTGAGTGACAGGAAGAAGGGTGGCGTGACTGTCCTTCATGTCATATGAGTGACAAGTACTGTTAGAGTGACAGGCAAAGGACGAGGGAGCGTCATGGGCGGTGGCGGGCGAGACTCGAACATCGGTCGCGGCTCTGGCGACGGGCGCCGATTCGGGCTTCGTGGCGGCGGCGTCCGGGTCGAGGCGAGGAAGCCCCGGCCGGAGAAGGGGGCGGCGGAGATGATGAGATGAGGTCAGCATCCGAAGCTGCGCTTACTTGGGCGAAGGTCTCACAGGGTCATCTACGGGACAACTCTCGTCTTGACGTGGAGAACAGTAGGATGAGAATGGCTGTATTATCAACTTAAGCAGACTTTCACACACAAATGAGCATATCAGTTTCCTTAGTCAATACTTCTCCCCCCTCCCTTCCCCCGCCCTCCCCAACCGAGCTTCTTCGCGTCACTCTGAACACTTTTCCTCCCTCTCCTCACTCTTCCCACCCCCTTCGCTCTCTCCTCCTCACCTTTCAACCTCTCTCCTCACGCTCATCACCCTCACCTCATTCCACTCACTCTTATCATAGCGCTTGCCTTTCCCACCCTTTACCTAACTTTCCCCGTTCCCTTTGCTTGTCCTCCTTCCTCTTTCCTCCCCTTCTATACCCTTCTCACCCTCGTAGCTTCACCCTTACAGTCATTCTGCAACGGGTATTTCGAAAACACTTGAAGATCAGAGCGAAACGGTGGGGGAGGGAAAGAATGATGAAATAAAATGAAAATATGAGAAAGAAAGACAAGGCACACAAGGTAAAAGAATTGAAAGAAAAGAGAGAAAAGAAAAATGGAAATGGGGAAAAGCGCAGAAACAAAGGAACTAGACACACACCCTTAACCGTCTCTTTGATGTTCGTATCTTGGCATATAACTCTTCGAACTCCTAAACATTTATATACAACTATTATTTTTTTACAATTCTACAGGGCTAAATATTTGTGTGCCTGGCCAGACTGTATGACCGTAACACTTCAGGATAGTTTGTAGGTCTTATCATAACGTAGTGTAGGGTATGTACTTGGCTACACTGTGGAATATGGGGTAATGATTCACGGTCTATATAACCGATGTATATATCACAGTATCTATAACGATTTTTTTTAAACATGCTATGGCATACCGTGTGACATGACGTCAGTTGGTAAAAGTTGAAACAACCAAATTATTACGATGTTTTTGATGGTCGTTAAACGTTAAGTGATGTTTAATAAGAGTAATCTGTCAAGAGGGATCATCAGACCACAATGTTTGATTATATCAAGGTTGACACTCAAGGTAGGACCAAACTGTTTGTTAGGAACGAAAATCAGATTACTGAATGATGTATGTGACCTAGGTGATACACTGTACATGATACAAGTTTTAAGTTGAGATAGGATACACTAAATCACGTTTCTTTAGAATAGTATATCCTACACAATGTATGGTTAAAAACGGTAAGAGAATAGTTAATGGTGCAGTGATGAGGGGCGATTCAAGAGGTGAAGAGGCCTGACAAAGACAGAAGAAAGAGAATGAAGAGAAGACAGAGGGAAGAAGCGGAAACAGAAGAGGGGAGTAAGGCAAAAGGAGAGGAGGAGAGAGAAAGGAAAACGGGAAGAAAGGGAAGCAGGGAGGAGACAAAGAGCCATGGAAGAGGTAAATCGCCCGTGTCTTGTTTCCGACATACTGCAACGATGGGAGAGCAAAGGAGCACAGCTCAGAATCGTAAATTTCCATTATGGAGCGTTCACATGACTGCCACTGATAGCTGGTGGATCTCTTTTTCAATAAACTCCTGCGCGGCCAACGGCATTGGAGTTGGGTGCGCCTCACAAGCGAAGGGTCGTTAAAAGAATAACAGGTACGACCCAGTTGCCCGTCATCGGCCGTGGAGTGTGCTGAGCCGCGATATAATTCTAGGTCAAGAGAAGGCAGCCAGCCCGAGCCGCCCGGAACCGCCCTCGCCCCCCTCACCCTTCCCCTTCCCCTTCCCCCCAGACCCGGCCTAGGGCGTCGCTGCCTGGCACCAAGAGCGCTCACCGCCGCCGCCGCCTCCCCTTACGCAATCCTCGGCATTGCTTCGGATTGGCACCGAGTGGTCTTTTCCCTACCGAAGGTCATGCAGGCGTATAAATGGTATTGTGAGTGAAACCATAGCTACTAGGTACTGTCAATGTCAAGCTCTACTGCCTACTGCTTAGTCTAACGTCATGTGCTGTGTACTATTCAGTGTAACATCATGCAACACTGGTCCATGCCCGGTACCGTGCAAGGGCGACCCATGCCCGGGACGGCGGTCGCAAAGCCGATTC